TGAATCTGAATCGTCCCCGCCGGCGCGGGGGGGACGAGTCCACCGACCGCATGCATGCGCACGAACGAGCACTTGCTTGGAGGAGGACGAACGAAACCGGGCGGGCGCACGAACCGTTCCTCTATCTAGCAAGCAGAGGCTCATCATACCGAGCATCACTTTAGTTGGTATGCCCCGCCAAGTTCGCCGCTCGCATCAGCGCAACGTTCACCGCGCCGCCCCGTCCGAGCAGCGCGATCGCATGGGTGGGATAGCCCGGTCATGCCGCCTGCTCTGTCGGTCGGTCTGTGTCTGTCCGCAAACGGTGTGGGCGATTTACTACGCGTATCTGCTCACTTAGTCGAGCGTTGTCTTATACTCCTTACAAACCCCGCACGCGGTGTTCAAGCCACGTGAATGCCGGATCCGGAGGTGGTTGGATGAGAGGGGGGGGGGGGGGGGGGCAAACCCACTTATTCTCGCGTCCACACACACACGCACAATCTCATTGTGTGTATTGCGCGCCTTGCGGGGGGCGCGCGGAAAAGAGGAACCTCTTAGAGCCATCGCCATGGTGCTGCAAGCAGCGGGCGACGAGAGAGAGGACTTACCGCCTCCCGGTCCCCCTCGGCACACCTCCGCTGCTTAATGTTGGACGACTCGAACCCGTGAAGCTTCCCCGTGCGCGGGTTACCCCGCACACGGGTCAGCCTGCCAGCCACGTATCCACGCAAAAGGGTCCGCTTTTTATGGCATGACACGTTCACAGGGTGATTCAGATTCCGACGGCGCCTGTTTGTTGCCCCCCCCCCCAAAACGGACATATGCTGGCCATTCTTACCGCATCGACCGCCTTTGCGCAAACCGCCGACAGCTGCGGCAAGTGCGTCACAGAATTTGACGCCGCCGGCGGCTGTGCAGCCATGCGTGCGTATGCATCAGTCGACGCGTTGGTCCCTGCGGGGTGCCACCATTGCGGGGACAAGGCAGCCGTGCACTGCGGAGTCGAGCCCGGCTCGGCCAACATGAACCCCCCCGCCGGCTCGGCCAACATAAGGTACGAGCGCAAGTACTGCTCCGCCGAAGGCGTCCCGATGTACGAAACCTGTGAGGGCTGCGGAGCCGCCCGCGGCGCGTGCTCTGGCGACTGCACAAACGACGACGGCAAGCACGCCAACTGCATGGAATTCTCGTGGGCGGATGGCGGCGTCTCGACAAAGGCGGAGTGCCGCAACATGACGCACGTGTCGCTGCACTTTGATGAGGCCGGGTGCACCGGCAAGCTCATTAACGAGCTGGAGGAGCAGGCCGACTGCTACATGATCGACCAAGACAGCGGCTCGTACGTGGACGTGTGTCCGGCTTGACCGGATGCTCCGCCCACTCGCCCGCCCGCCGTGCCGCCTCGCACGCCGCCCGCTGCGCCGCCCGCAGTGCCTCTCGCCCCCGGCCCCCCCGGGGCGGGCCGCCGGGCAAAGCGGCTGTGGCTCCCTGGTTCCCCTGGGGGAAAGCGGCCGGGCCGAAGGCCCATTCACCGGGAAAGGTTGGGCGGGGGGCGGAGCCGAGGGCAGCTCACGGGGTTGTCCGGTGGGGGGGGCGGGGCGGGGTGGGGCGGGGTGGATCGGGTCGGGTCGGGGTGGGGCGGGGTTGCTCGGGTCGGGGTGGGGCGGGGTTGTGGGGTGGGGTGGGGATGTCGGGGTGGGGAGTGGGTGGGCGCCGGGGTGGGAGTGGTGTGACTGCTCCTGTGGTGCGGGCGACGGCTTCTGAGGAAGCCGTCGCCCGCGCCTCGGCGTGAATCGTGTCGTGCGACCGCCTTTTGTTGTAAAATTCACCGATTTTCAAGTGTGAAGTGAGCCCCCCCGGGGGACCATCGGTGCCTGCAGACCTGCAGAGCGAAAGAGGCGCTCGGACACACTTGAACGAAACGGATCATCGTGTAAAATTCTTTTGGCCTTCTGGTCCTGAAGGTGCGCTCGCTATCACGTCACCAACGAGATGCCGGCGCTGGCGGCGGAACTAGCCGGGGCAGTCGGAGAAGGGGCAACTCCGTGGTCCGTGCACTGACGGTCGGCCGTCAGAAACCACGCCTGCGTGAATCGCGTCACACCAATCCTCGCTACCCAACGCGGCCAAAGGATATCCACCTCGAGAACCTCGAGAACTCGAGCTCTCAGAACCTTGTATGTATGTATGTAGTAAGGTGAAGAACAGTCAGGCTCGGACTGGACACCAACGCGGTATGGGTGGACGCAAGACAGACCTAGGTGTTAGATATGTATCCAGTGTATCCAGAACTTGGGTGGATACACAGTGTATCTAGTGTATCTCAACTCTCGGAAGCTGCCTACACACGCGCCCTCTCCGGCTCTCGCTCGCTCATGCCTATCTAGGAGAACCAAACTAAGCCATCGTGTCGTGCTCACTTTCTTCCTTTGATCCGTCAGTGTCCTCATCCGACTCCCAACGCTCCACGTCTGCGCTCTCCACCCTGCATCTTGCATGCGCAACTGCACATGCATCGCTTCGTGGCAAAACACGAGCTTGTCCGCGGTGCCGTGAGACATGCGAGATTTGTGGGCGCCCTGGATCTGGCCATAGACTGACCAGTTGCGCTCGGCGGCGGAAGCGGCGGCGGCCTGCGCGAGCACACGCGGTGCAATGGCCGACAGCAGCGGCAAGTGCTTGCCATACATCCCCCACCACGCTGCCGGCTCCATGTTCTTCGCGTTCTCGAGGACCGACGGCCGGCTGAAGACACCGTCGCGGCGCTGGTAGACGGCAAACTCACGCTCGGCCTGCGCCACACGCGCGACGACCCCGGGGCTTGTAGTCGTGAGCTCGCGCCACGCCTGCTCCGGGTTGGCCGACGCCATGATCTCGTCTCGAAGGCACAGGCGCTCGAAGACGATCATCAGCCCCTCCATCGTCTTCGAAACCGGAGCTGCGTGTGTATCTCACTGTGTATCCACTGTGTATCCAGACTGAGTGTGGATTCACGTGTATCCTGTGTGTCCAAACCACCCCCGGTGTGTGTCTAACACCTAGGAAGACAGATGATGACGACACGCACGAGCGACACACAGACACAAACAAGCTCACAAGACACACAGCCAGCGGGCTGCCACACATCCTGAGTTGGCGTACACATCACTCAGGCCACGTCCCCCCTGTCGCCCCCCACAGAACCTTTGCTCGAGAGATTTGTTTTTTGCCACGTCAGCCCCGCTAGGAATATGTCCTGCCGAGCGGCCTGGCTAATCGGGGCGTGCTGCCTCATCGCCGGCTTTAGTAGCCTCGGCCTGCCTGTCTCCAGCGTCGAGCCGCCGGCTGCGAGCAGCGACAGCGGCCGCGGCCACGCTCCCGCCAGCAGCCACGGCTCGGCTCCGCCGCCGTTGCGGTTCTGGCACCTCACCGACGTGCACCTCAACCTGTGGCACTCCGCGCGGGCGGACGTGCGCGACATGTGCCGATCCGCCGCGCCGAGCGCCGAGCGACGCCCGGGCAGCTTTGGCCACTTCAATTGCGACCCTGCACCTGACGGCCTCCTGCGGTTGGCCGTCGCGCGGATGGCCGAGGCAGAGCCGGCGCCCAGCGCGATCCTGCTCGGCGGAGACGACCACGGGCACGTCCCTCCGTCGCGCGACGGCGCCTCCGCCCTCTCCGCCTCGCGGCGCGCCGTCGCCTCCGCCCTCGCCGCTGCGTTCCCGTCGGTGCCGGTGCTTCCGGCTCTCGGCAATCACGACACCTGGCCGTACTTCACAGCGGGGGAGGCGGCGGGGAGCGCGTTCGCCGAGCTGGCGGAGCTGTACGGCGGCCACCTCGCGCCGGCGCAGCGGCGCCACCTCGCTAGCCGCGGGTACTACTGCCACCGGCTGTCGCGGCGGGTGAGTAGATGCTCCGTTCGGCGCAGTTTGGTCCTCAAGTAGATGTCGCCTCTGCTCAGTGCAATGGCCGAGGGTGGCCGAGGGTGGCCGAGGGTGGCCGAGGGTGGCCGAGGGTTGCCGAGGGTCGCCGAGGGTTGCCGAGGGTGGCCGAGATGGGCCGAGGTCTGGCCGAGATGGGACGGGAGTGGGCGACCGTGGGTGGCGGCCGTCGGGCAATCTCGGGTAATCTCCGGCAATCTCGAGTCATCTCGAGGCGGGGGAGTAGGCGGCTGTGGGTGGCGGCGCTCGAGACGAACTCGCTCTCGCTACGTTCGGAGGAGGAGGCGAGATCGCCCGAGATCACCCGAGATCGCCCGAGATCGTGCTCTCGCCACCTGCCGAGGAAAGGCGCGAGATCGCCCGAGATCGCCCGAGATCACCCGAGATCGCCCGAGATTACTCTCTAACTGCCGAGGAGGAGGCGAGATCACCCGAGATCGCCCGAGATTACTCTCTAACTGCCGAGGAGGAGGCGGCCAGCCGGCTCGCAATCTCCCGCAATCTCCCGCAATCTCCCGCAATCTCCCGCAATCTCCCGCAATCTCCCGCGGTCTCCCCGCAATCTCCCGGCGCCAGCTAGGCGGCCAGCCGGCAGCTCGACTGGATCCGCCGAACAGTCGACGCGGCGGCGGCGGCGGGCGCGTCGTTGCTCGTGTTTGGCCACATCGCGCCCGGCGCGTCGCACGTCGATTGGGACTCGATGGGGGCGAAGTCTACTCCGAGATGTCGCCGAGATGTCGCCGAGATGTCGCCGAGATGTCGCCGAGATGTCGCCGAGATGTCGCCGAGATGTCGCCGAGATGTCGCCGAGATGTCGCCGAGATGTCGCCGAGATGTCGCCGAGATCTGCCGCGAGATGTCGCCGAGATGTCGTCTAGACGAGAAGTCGCGAGGGCTGCCTCGCCCTTGCCCCACCACCGCCGTGTGTGTGTGTGTGTGTGTGTGTGTGTGTGTGTGTGTGCGTGTGTGTGTGTGTGTGTGTGTGTGTGTGTGTGTGTGTGTGTGTGTGTGTGTGTGTGTGTGTGTCTGCTGTGTACCCGGGCGCCTGCTGCGCGTGCGCCCGTGGGCAGGGGGGAGCTTGGAGTTCGGGCTGCCTATCTACTCGGGCGCCTGCGCGAGGAGAGAGGAGACGTTGTGGTCGAAGAAGAAGAGGACGGTCAGGATGAGGGCGGGGACGATGGCGAGGACGATCGCCCACGCAGGGCAGTCCGCGGGGTTGATCAGCCAGCCGCGGTCAGCTGACGGCTCCACCGCGTCGGGCACGTCGAGCGTGGCGATGGTGGAGGCGGTGATGTTGTCGCCGTGCGCGGCGGGCGTGAGGTCGTAGTTGGCGCCCATGTAGGGCACGAAGCAGAAGAAGAAGATGGAGGCGGTGGCGCCGTAGTCGGCG